TTCCTAGATAAAACGTGCACTGGAGTAGCTATTCCCAGCCTGCTTTAGAGTAGTGCTACTGACATCAGAAGGGCTTACCAGCTATGCAAACCTCCCATAAACCAGACTCTCAGAAGGAATATGGTCCGCTGTGATAGAAAAACATTGCAAAACAGATTGTGTACAATGCTCGGAACGTAATGAGCACCGTGAAAACTTAAACACCATTGTGTCTTGGAGCTCTCATCTGTCAGGCACTTTTTTTGAAAAGGTTAAGTAGGAAGTTAGCAGCTACATCATGCTCAGCTGCAAGGCGTGAAAGAAATCTGAACCACTGGTTGTGTGATGAGATGGGCCAATGAAAGGCGGTCGAGTTTGGTCATAGGGTGTTGAACCTCTCCACAATCCTGCCAAGATCTTCAGAGAGCGATTCTTCCAAGGACAGGGATCCAAGCTTGAGCTTCAGGTGTGCTCCCACTTTAGGTGGCGACACCGGAGGCTCAGCATCGCAGAAAACCTCAGTACTTCCAAAGGCACTTATGGTCTTATCGGCAAGACGTTGGAGACAATGGGCTCGACTCCATTGCGCCAGATGGCGTTAGTGTGAGCTGCTGGCCAAAGGTTCCTGCTCCAGTCATTCAGTCTATTTGTACAGATTCTACACAGAAGCGTTCACAGGGCAGAGAAGAGATGATTCAAGTGAGTTTCATGCCCCCAATGAGGGAACTGCCAAAAGCAAAGTACTGGGAGAAACAGAATGTGCCATTGGATTAACCAGAACACATTAAGAATACATTTATGCCCAAGATGTTCAAGCTTTGAGCAAAGAGGCCTCAGAGCAGAGTTTAAACTGTGCTTCTGCCAAAGCTATGGGCTGTGGTGGCGCAGTGGTTAAGACACTGAACTGCAGACCAGAAGGTCGGTAGTTCACAGTTCGAGACCCTAGTGCCACGTGACGGAGTGAGCTCCCATCTCTGGCCCCAGCTCCTGCCAACCTAGCAGTTCAAAAGCAAGACACTGCAAGTAGATAAATAGGTACCAGTTTGGTGGGAAGGTAACAGCGTTCCATGCACCTTGGCATCTAGTCATGCCGGCCACATAACCACGGAGAAGTCTTCGGACAGTGCTGGCTCTTCGGCTTGGAAATGGAGATGAGCACCGCACCCCTAGAGTCGGATTTGACTGGCTTTCGAGCAAGGGAAACCTGTACCTTTTACCCTCTGCCAAAGCTGCATAGGAAGCAGAGGGGACAGGTCCAGTTTAAGGAAGGGGAGAGACACCTGTGTAACAAATATTTTTATTATTTTTTATTATTTATTGAATTTCTGAATCGCCCCATCCTTGAGTACACAGGGCTCTGAGCGATTTGCAATAGATCAAAACATACAAAAATATAGTTTAAAACCAACAAATTGATTAATCCGGAATTTCACAATCTTCAGATGGCGTCTATAACTTAATCTAAAACCTGCTCTGGACTGTTCTTCCATCTCATGGGCAGGTTAAGGAGGAAGCCGAAGTGGGCAAGGTGGGAGAAAAGAGGAGGGTGCCGGCTACGATGGAAAACCACTGCTGTCCTCGACCAAAGGCCTGGCGGAACATCTCTGCCTTACGGGCCCTGCGGAATTGCATTAAGTCCCGCAGGGCCCTGACGGAAGTTGGCTGAGAGTTCCACCAGGTCGAAGCCAGGGCCGAGAAAGCCCTGGCTCTGGTCGAGGATGGGTGGATGTCTTTGGGGCCAGGGATCCCCTGTCCTAGTTGACTGCTTCACTACTTGCATCCTTCCTCCCCTAGCGCATTTCTTCCAGCCACCCAATTCTGGTGCACAGTTAAGGGGCGAAAAGTGACGACGAGGGGGGGGGGCAGAATTTGGCTGTTCCACTGAACTGCCCCAACCCCCCCCCCCTTTCTACAGGATTGCAGGGATTACCTGGGTCCAAACACACACACAGCTGCCATCGTCACATCTAGTGTGCCTCTCAGTTAAAAAAAAAAATCCACACAGACAAAAAAGTGTGCATTTCCATAGACTTAAGCTAAGTCTAAATATGTCTTTTATAAATTGTTTATCGTGCATAGTGGTCCCAAGCAAGAGATAGAGAGAACAAGTGCTAAAAAAGGAGTAATGCTTTGTTTTCATTGCTTAGTCACAGAATCATAAGAACCAAAGAGTTGGGTAGGGGCCACATACAGATATACATATTTACACACAGTGAACAAGCTGATGCCCACGTTACTACTGCATATGCCCAGTCCATTTAAAAGTGCAAGCCGAACATGATGCGTTTAAGAAAAAAACTGGGGCCACAACCAATGTTCCCTCTAAGCTATGGAGTCCTGTGAGCAAAAATTCTACTTTGTGAGCTACTGGCATTAAAGTTGTGAGCAGGTAGTTTGGCTACTGCATAAATTAGTTTGCTCTGGAGCCATCCCTTCCTGAGCTAAGACAAAAATGTGTGAGCCGGTGGATAAAAAACTGTGAGCTAGCTCACACTAACTCAGCTTAGAGGGAACACTGGCCACAACACACAACCAGAGTTCCCTCTAAGCTGAGTTAGTGTGAGCTAGTTCACAGTTTTTTAGCTTCCGGCTCACATATTTTTGCCTTCGCTCAGGAAGGAGGGCTCCAGAGCAAACCAATTTATGCAGCAGCCAAATCGCTGGCTCACAACTTTAATGCTGGTAGCTCACAAAGTAGAATTTTTGCTCACAAGACTTCACAGCTTAGAGGGAACATTGCACACAACCACCAAGCCGGAGATCCTGTCCACAGAGTGGGACGCACAAGCAGGGGAGATCAGTCTATACTGTTCGTGTGGCGCAGGCACTATGGACATACACCTGTGCACGTGTAGGCCTGATTCACACTGCCTTTCGTCAACTTGCGCTTTGGGAGAGCCCATGAATTGAGTGCGAACACACACCATCCCCTATGCTGTGCTTGACCTTGAGGATGGTGTCTGTGGGGAGGGGAGAGGCAGGACCCTTCCCAGACTAGTGCATGTAGTGGTGCTTCGTGTTACATGAAACATGGAATTCACCGCAAAGGCTGATGGAGACGCAAAAGGTTTTTCCGCACATGTTAATTTGTCGGTTGTGTGCCCATACTGCATCAAGGGTTCCCCCCTCCTTTCCCACACATTTTCCTCCCTGTAGAGGAAGAAGAAGAGTTGGATTTATACCCAACCAATGTAAGCCGCCCTGAGCCTGCTCACGGGGAGGGCGGGGTACAAATTTAATAAATAATAATAATACCCCGCCCATCACTCGGAGTCTCAGAGCAGCTTACAAACTCCTTTCCCTTCCTCTCCCCACAACAGACACCCAGTGAGGGAGGTGGGGCTGAGAGAGCTCTGAGAAAACTTGTAACTGACCCAAGGTCACCCAGCTGGCTGCATGTGGGGGAGTGGGGAATAAAACCCGGTTCTCCCAGATTAGGGTCCACCGCTCTTAACCACTATACCAAACTGGCTGTCCTACACCAAACTGGCTCTGGGGGGAGGGGTTTGGAGCATTTTTAAAAACCCTGCAGCTACAAAAGACTGAAGCAGCCCCTAGAGAAAGCAAAACATGCATGGAAAGGGGGGGGGACTCAGTACGGACATACAACCGACCAAAATAACACATGTGGAAAAACCCAAAGTGAGGCAGGAGACCTATCATGCAGATTCTCCTCAGCTCCCACCAAAGACACATCATATTTATAAACAACAACCACCCCCTCCCCAATGAACAGTTACACTATAAAAGGACAAAGTTCTACCAGGAAGTTCTCTCATGCAAGCCCCATTGAAGTCAGCAAACAGGAAAACAGCTGCTCCCATTCATTTCAGAACTGAGCTTGTGAAGGAGACGTTCCGGGTGGCTGTCCCACTAAAGAAATGAGTGCACACGGGGCATGATACAATAGGCATAAATGTGAATTAGCATGGCCTTTAACGTGCGTGACGCAAACTGATTTTAGCAGGGTTTAAACCTTTTTAACTTTTCTGATTTATATCAGAAGGGCTTCTGCACTTTGCTAAAATTCGTTTTCCTCATTTCGCCCTCTTACCACCCCAAAGCACAGAACTGTGACTGGCAAATTCATTTAAGGCAGAACACTGGAGAAACATCTCATCTGTACAGTAATATACAGTGCTACAGTACAAATATAGTGTTACTCTGTTAGGAATAAATAGAAAAAATACAGCATACTGCAGATTTGTACAGCTGCGATTAAGTAGGGTAGGGGAAATAATTCACTGAAGGTTGAAACAAAGCTTGTATCGTAATCTTATTTCTGCTCTGCTAAAAAAAACCTAAGTGCAAAATCCCATCATTGCAAAGGGCTTTTTTTTTTTTTTTGGCATGTAAACAGACTGCAGCAACACACCCAAGAAACACTTTTTTCCAGTCAGTATACAGGAATGCGTAACTGTCTCCTTTTGTTTCTAATACCTTTATGGACAGCTACCCTTGCAGGGCCCTGACCTGGACAGCTTGTCAGATTTGGAAGCTCAGCAGGGCCAACCCCGGTTAGTATTTGGATGGGAGACCACCAAGGAATGCCAGGATCATTACACAGAGGCAGGCAATGGCAAACCACCTCTGAACATCTTTTGCCTTGAAAATTAGGGGTGTGAAAAAGTTTTTCTGGCGTTGGGGGGGGGGGGGGGGGGAAGCTTGTGGGAGGAGAGGGGGAGCAGGCTAACTCTGAGACCTGTCCCACTGGGAACCACAGTCCATTGTGAGTCCCGGCTGCATAAGTGAAATGACATGGGATTTGCATAATGGCCCATCTGCCATCTTGCACAATTTGGTGGGGCCTGCATCGGAGAGGTTCTCGGCAGACAGTGGCCTCCCCCAACAACATGTGACTAGAAGGACTGATGAAGACAACTCCTCATGGCTTGTGTGAGCCAAATCTGCAACGCTTGGGGGCGCAGCATTTTACGTTCCAAAGTGCTTTCATGCCCGAAATTTCCGATTATTATTTATCAAAAAATACAGATTTCTCTGCTAGACATAGCACTGGGGGCTCGAACTGGAAGGCAGGAATAGATGGAGACCTTGGTCCGCAAGATGCGTACACTGGGCAGAAGGTATTTTAATTTTCCAACATCCATTCAGGGTCCGAGGCTTCACCTTGTGGAATCCAACATTATCTTTGGTTCCCGAGGAAATCCATCGTAATGAACTCAATGGAATCACAGTCTTCCAATGTTAATCTAAACCTGCGGCCAAATGTGAAACGTTCAAACAATTTGGAGCCACTGTGGCATTAACAGAAGGCAAGGAAGTGGGACAAAGGATTTCTTCAATAGTCACATAAGTGCCGGTGATGAAGCCCAGCACTCCGAGGGAAGCGATGAAGACATCCTTCAGCACCATCCCCAGGTCTTCCTTGTCCTTGTAGAAAGTGAGGATCTCAACCAGCGGTGGCAAGATCAAGGCCAGAGTGCTGCTGCTCACGGCTCCTACAAACGAGATCACCAGGTCCAGGCGAGGGATCAAAATTGCGACAAAACCTGAAAGAGAGAAGGCTTCTTTTACTTCATAAAGTAAATATATATAGAGACACACCCGCGTGGGCATGAAGGAAAGCGAAGAGAACCGAACGAGCCACAGCTTCAGACTGGAGGTACCTGATAGTTCGGAAGGGGGGGGACGGGACTCACAGAGCTAAATTTGCTGAGCAGAAGCATCACAACGGGAGGGCAGACCACTTCTTTCAAGGACACAATGTGGGTCAAAATCCACAGGATATAATGGGCCGCATTCCACGACTTGAGAAAGGGGGGAGGAATACGACGGATGTGCGGAAGAGGGGAAGATCTGATATTTATTACCAATTATCAAATATCGTATTCTGACCTAGACAGCCCCAAGCTAGAACAATGTTGTTAGATCCTGGAAGTTAAGCAGGGTTAGCTCAGGTTATTACTTGGATGAGAGACCACCAAGAAAGTCCAGGGCAGGGGCAGGCAACGGGAGGCAATGGCAAACCGTCTCCATTTGCCTCTTGCTTTGAAAACCATAAGTCAGCTGCAACTTGACGGTGCTTTGTATAACACACATAAAATATCATGGGCTTTTCTGCTTGCAATCGATGAACGCTCTTGTGTGTTCTCCGGTTCAGTCTCTGGCATCTCCAGCTTAATAGTACTGCCTGCCAGAATAGGCAACCACTGGGCTAGATGGACCTGAAAAGCAAGTTTGTATGTTCGAATATCAGATACTGTTTCACTGCAATCCCTATCACTGCTATAAAGGCAAAAGGTTTCTATCATAATGAAGAGAGGAATCTCAACCCAAAATAGGGGAGGAGCTGTGGCTCTATGGTACAGCATCTGCTTGGCATGCAGAAGGTTCCAGGTTCAATTCCCGGCATCTCCAATTAGATGGAGCAGGTGGTAGATGATGTGAAAGAGCTCTCTCTCAGACCCCATTGAGCCATTGTGTTAGCCCAGACGCATTATATTGGGCTACTTCTGGACTATGTTATATTAATACAGCTTGATGGAGAGGGCTAATAAAGAGACTGTGTAATAAAAGGTCACGTTGAGGGCGCCCAGGGAGGAAACAATGCCAGCTGAAGATGTTGATCTGCTGAAATGATATCGCTCCAGAGGTGCTCCCCCTGTCTCTCGCTTATCATGTGTGCGCAAACACAGGTTTTACAGCAAACACAGAAAACTCATTAAATAGCCCAGACTCCCGGTCTCCACATGAGAGGCTTATCCAGAACTCACCCCTCCGCCAGACGGCAAAGACTTTCTATTCCACATGGAGAAATTGGCCGGTCACCGATGAGTCAGCCCCATTGACCCCGGACTCACCTCTTCCCCCTCCCAGGTACCAACGGTCAAGGTAGCCAATAGAATTGAAATTCACCACGCTAGCCAATCCCAGACCGCAGGGCAGGGCCACCAGGTGTAAGCCACCTGAGCCCTCCCTCTTGCTCTCGGCAGCAGCTTTAAAACTTAGAGCACAGAGTGACCTAGGGACCCCTTCGCCTATGCCCTCTGCCTGTCTGCTTTTTCCCTTACGCCCAGCTTGCTGTACTCAAATCCTTGCCTCGCTTTATGCTCTAGTCTGCAGCTAGAGTGCTACATGTGTTCTCAGCCGGTCTGATTACACACGCTTTCCACATTTATATTTTCCTCCCTACCCTAATACCTCCCGCTGGAAGATTTAGGAGCTGCGCATCGCCTGAGGTAAATATCTCCCACCAACGATATCCTGCTAATGCGAAAGTCCTATTCCAAATCTCTCTGTTTTTACTTAGGTCTTGTGTGTGTGTATGTAATTGTGTGCACTGAGTGATTCTTAGTAAACTAAAGAGAATTTTATTTCTGCCTCTGTCTCTTCATTGGGAATGTACTGGTGCAGCCCATCCTCTGTATACAATTGACCTGAACCCGATTAACTGTTCCAATTGTCTCTCCTAGAGAGCAATTCGGCTAACAACTGACAGCCCGAGCAGACAGTACTGATCTTAGAATCATAGAATCATAGAATGTTAGAGTTGGAAGGGACCTTGCAGATCATCTAGTCCAACCCCCTGCACTCTGCAGGAGTACTGAAAGATAGCCCTATATACCTACAACGTGCCCGAAAGATGGTCGTCCAGCCTCCGCTTGAAACGTCCAGCGAAGGAGCATCCACCACCTCCCAAGGCAGACTGTTCCACTGCTCAACCTTGGTAGACCCATGGTCTAATTCAGTAGAAGGCAGCTTCGTGCGTTTGCAAACAGTTCAGGGGGACACGCATCTGACAATGCGATCCTAAACCAACTGACTTCAGTGGCATTAGAGGAGCATAGTGCTGCTTAGAACTGCATTCCTTGTGACCTCAGACAGTGAAAACTGAGCCTTCCCCCATCTACCTGCATGTCCCCAGTTTTTCAGCTATATAGCCCCACCTAGGCTTTTATCTCACAATGACCTTCCCGTACGCTGCACTGGAATCAAGGCAACTTCTGACGATGACAATTAAAACATATAACCTTAAGTAACCATTAAAAGCTTTAAAAACTGCCATTACAGACAGCAACTTTTAATATCTGAATGAACCCTCAATAGAAAGGAAGAAAAAGAATTCTATGTTACTATTGGTCCGAGGAAGAGAACCCTCTCATTAAAATCAAATAATCGGTCCTGCACACTCGATGGCTTTGCGGGTTGCATTCTGCCCACAGTTGCACGGGAGAGCCAGCATGGTGTAGTGGCAGACTCTAACCTGGAGAACCGGATTTGATTCCCCACTCCTCCTCCATGTGACGCCAGCTGGGTGACCTTGGGCCAGTCACAGTTCTCTCAGAACTCTCTCAGCCCCACCAACCACACAAGGTGTCTGCTGTGGGGAAAGGAAGCTGCTTTGAGACTCCTTAGGGTAGAGAAGAGCGGGGTATAAAAACCAAGTCTTCTTCTTCAGTGCTAAGATGAAGAAGATCAACTCAATGTTTAAAGTTCCTTGGTTTATAGTATACCGTCTGGAACCTTTTCTCTTTCAGCGGATGTATGCAACCAATAGCCTCCAACGCATTCCTTGTAAAATTTCTTGCAATTTAAAACCAATTCTCGCAAAACCTCTGAATGAAGAGTCTGGGGCGATAATTTTCACAGCTTTTGGCAAACTTGGGCTGATGGCCTCAGAGTGACGGGATGAGATCATACGACGTGAAAGTAATCAATGAAAACACTGTGCAAGCCAATGAAAAGCAGACCCGGCAAAAACGATACGGAAGATGGAAAGTGCCGTCAAGTCACAGCTGAGTTATGGGGACCCTGGTGGGATTTTTAAGGCAAGAGACGTTCAGAGGTGGTTGGCCACTGCCTGCCTCCATGTCACGACCCTGGTATTCCTTGGAGGTCTCCCATCCAAATACTAGCCCGGGCTGACCCTGCTTAGTTTTCGAGACCTGACGAGGTCAGGCTAGCCTGGGCTGTCCATACTGTACAACTTGCATATATTAAAAATAAATAAATCATACGCTGCATATTTTGCCCAGCAGGACTTCTGATCAGCTGTGTAGATTCTCTAAAAGTTTATTTGGCAGCAGCTGCCACAACAACACAAGAATCTTCACTGTGTGTGACTGAAGGTACTAATTAGCCTTAACATGAGGGGCGGGGGAGGGGGAAGATGGTAGGGAGAAGTAGGAGCCTTGCTGAAGGTGATTTATTCCTAACACAAAGTATGTGGATGGATTTTGACAGGGGAATGCAGCCCTTCGATTCAGTGCTGTATATAGAATCCTCATTTTGATTCTGCTTGCAGCTGAATGCCAAAAGCAAACAGGGTAGTGCAGGGAAGGCTGCGGCACAGAAATGGAGCCATCCAAAGGTATGGCATCCCTATGTCGCCCGACGTGCATGGCAGAAAGGCTGATCGAGCATGCACAAAGAAAGCATAACTCAGCCAACAGTAAGATGACTTTAGCACAGCGGCCACGATGCACGCTGAAGTAGATTTACAAGGTCTCTTGCCGGTTAACGTCATTCGCTAAGTATCCATGGCAGTTGGTTATTGTGCATTAGATATCACGTGAGGCTAAAACCCTGATAAGAAGCCATCTGCGCGAACAGGCGTGCAGCTATCGATGAGGCCGACACAGGCCGCGGCAGTTCAAGGGACTCTGCCACCCCAAGCAGGACCCAGTTCGCATCCCCCCCCCTCCCACTTAGTTCCTTATGGGCACCAGAGAAAATGGCTGCTTTTGAAATGGACAGCGGAGATCTTGGGAACATGAGCCTGCCAGAGCTATTCTGTTTTAAAGAAGTGCACCACAGTCTGTTCTCATTTACACTAGTCAGTTCCTAACAACTGGTGCCCCATAGAAAAAGAAGAAAAAGAAGAAGAGGAGGAGGAGGAGGAGGAGGAGGAGGAGGAGGAGATTGGATTTTTACCCCGCCCTTCATTTGGAGTCTCAGAGCAGCTTACAAACTCCTTTTCCTTCCCCTCCCCACAACAGACACCTTGCGAGGTAGGTGGGGCTGAGAGAGCTCTGAGAGAACTGCACCTTCAAGGACAGCTCTGACAGAAGAACTATGGCTTGCCCAAGGTCTTTCCAGCAGCTGCGAGTGGGGAAATCAGACCTGGTTCTCCCAGATTAGAGTCCGTGCACTTAACCACTACACCATGCTACCATTGCTTTTTTAATTCCTCTTCTCTGGTCTGTTACTCTTGCCTCTTCTTGCCTTCCCCCTTGCTCAACTGCTCCCCATCCTTAGTCAGGACTTGGTGTTTCTGCTTTAGCCTGTACATACCGTGTGCACTGAATGCACTGTACAATGCCCCCTGTACAAATGTACAATCCACATACAGCATACGTTACACTCCAATGAGGGGGAAAGGCAGGACGTGGATTTAATGTTGATTTTAATTTAAGAACTAAAATACTTTCAGAACCAAAATGACCTCAGCACTGAAGTCTGCTGACTGCCATCTCTAACTGCCATCTCCATTTCCCCAGAATGCCACATGGTTTATTTTTAAAGGACAGGCCCGTAGCCAGGATTTTGT